GGATTTCAGTTGTGAAATCTTGAAAGTCTGTTGAAGTCCTATAAAATCTCTTAAAATCTTTAGAAATTTCTTAAAACTTTTTGAAGTTTCGTAAAGCCTTTTGAAGTCTTGCAAAGTCTTGAAATCTTGAAGTCTGTGGGTTTTTTTCTGGTTATGAAATCCCTTATAGTCTCATGAAATCTTTTGAAGTCTTTGGAAGTCCGATGCAGTCTCATGAAGTCTTATGAAGTTCCATGAAGCCTTTGGGAGTCTCTTGAAGTTCCGAAAATTCCTTTGAAGTTCTTAAAAGTCTTTCGAAATCTTTCAAAAATTTGAAGTTTCTGATGTTGAAATCTCTTGAAATCTTCTGGAGTCTCGTGAAGTCTTGAAATCTTAAAATCAGCTGTGTTCCCCCCCCAGACTGCCCATTATCACCATGTCTAAAGTAATTTCCCTTTTCGTGCTCAACTTTCCGGTGTTGAACTTTCCTTGTGCTTATCTTCCCGGTGCTTAACTTTCCGTGCTTATCTTTCTCTGTGCTCAACTTTCCGTGCTTAACTTTCCGTGCTCATCTTTCCTCGTGCTCAACTTTCCGGTTCCCCCTCTCGTACTATCCACAATAAAAAGGTAGCCATGCAAAAAAACTTTAACCAGTCAAGAAAGTGTAACCTATGGAAAATAGGCTGACAACTTCAAATATATCTTATGAATAATAGAAAAAAGATGATGGTTCTTATAAATAGTAATTGTTTTTTCGGATGGTACAGAATTGTTAAATACATCAGACGATAGAACTTGAAAAGTTCTGCCGTCTGATGTATTTAACAATTCTGTACCATCCGAAAAAACAATTACTATTTATAAGAACCATCATCTTTTTTCTATTATTCATAAGATATATTTGAAGTTGTCAGCCTATTTTCCATAGGTTACACTTTCTTGACTGGTTAAAGTTTTTTTGCATGGCTACCTTTTTATTGTGGATAGTACGAGAGGGGGAACCGGAAAGTTGAGCACGAGGAAAGATGAGCACGGAAAGTTAAGCACGGAAAGTTGAGCACAGAGAAAGATAAGCACGGAAAGTTAAGCACCGGGAAGATAAGCACAAGGAAAGTTCAACACCGGAAAGTTGAGCACGAAAAGGGAAATTACTTTAGACATGGTGATAATGGGCAGTCTGGGGGGGGAACACAGCTGATTTTAAGATTTCAAGACTTCACGAGACTCCAGAAGATTTCAAGAGATTTCAACATCAGAAACTTCAAATTTTTGAAAGATTTCGAAAGACTTTTAAGAACTTCAAAGGAATTTTCGGAACTTCAAGAGACTCCCAAAGGCTTCATGGAACTTCATAAGACTTCATGAGACTGCATCGGACTTCCAAAGACTTCAAAAGATTTCATGAGACTATAAGGGATTTCATAACCAGAAAAAAACCCACAGACTTCAAGATTTCAAGACTTTGCAAGACTTCAAAAGGCTTTACGAAACTTCAAAAAGTTTTAAGAAATTTCTAAAGATTTTAAGAGATTTTATAGGACTTCAACAGACTTTCAAGATTTCACAACTGAAATCCCTGCTGTTTCCCCTTCGGGGCAGACGAATGCTGAGCGTAGATGTAGAGTGGGTGACTGTTGGTGAAGGTGAGTTGGTGTAGATGCAAGTGAGTGTGAGTGTGAATGGGGTAGGTGGCTATGAGCTCGCAAGGTGTATATAACAACTTGATCCCTATTCACATCCATATAACCCGTCCATCGACGCACATTCATAACCACTCGGCTACCTCACCGACCCTCACATATCTACCTCTACTCAACTGTCCATTCCATCGGCACCCACTTGCACATCCTCACCTGCACTCACTTTTACCTACCCTCTCTACACTCCTTTCCCCACCTACATCTACACTCAGCATTCGTCTGCTTATTAATGCCATGTCGAAATTAATTTCCATTTCCGTGCTTATCTTTCCTCGTGCTCAACTTTCACCAATCCCTTTCGACAGGATATTTCAATTTTCATTTTTGTTAAACACTCATATTTGAAAAATGGACTTTTCGATCACAAATCGTTCGGCATAGAAAGGAGCTGTCGACAAAGTTTGTATAATTTCACTTGAATAAAGGTTACCACTTATTTCAATGTAAAATTATGTAACGAAGTATCCTCTCGACAAAAAAAGATCGACTCAGATAATTTTTAGCATTTCGAAAAGAAATTTAGAGGAATTAGCAAAAGTTGATTGGTTTACTCGTCAATTTGACTTTTAGAACCTTTCAAATATTTCCGTACTATACTCAAACACAATTGAGACAAAATTTCTAAGTACACATCCGAAAAGTGAACAAAATTTTGATGCTAATCTATCACTTTTAACTCATTGGAAACGCTTTCCAGGAGATCAAAAATAAACAAACATTTTCTCTCAAAATCTTTAGCCCATTAATTAGCATAAAAAGGAGAGTATTTCCAGATTTTAGTTGCGAAAAGTTGACTTGTATCAGAAATAAACCTTATATACACAATCAACATGCAACACTACATCAAAAAAACATACTTTTTATCTTGAAATATTTCTTATGAAAACTTTTACTATACTTCTACTCAATCATTCACCTAAAAAAATTTATCCTGTACTCTCTTACAGGTGAAATTTCGATGGGAAATATTTTTCGGTGAAAGATATGCTTTCTAGTATAGTTTTGTATGCTTATTGCAAATATAAGATTTATTTCTGCTTTTCACAATCAAAATCTGAAAATACTTGCCTTTTTTTTAATGCTATTTTCTATGAAAGTTGCCCCTCTCTCTTGACGTATTATCTTTTTTGTTAACACTAAAAATATTCAAGGTCTGGGTTAGTAATTGCATACTCTCATATTATCCATAACAAAAAGATAACCATACAAGAAAACTTAAAGCAGTTAAGAAAGTATAACCTATGGAAAATAGGTTGGAAGCTTCAAATATATCTTATAAATAATAGGAAAAAGACAATTGATTTTTCTCATGGTACAAAATTGCTAAATACAACAGATGATAGAACTTTTCAAGCTCTATCACTAATGGAAATATCAAGGATTTTATCGTTGCTACATAAAACACGCTCAATTAGCATTTTGCTAATAAATTGTCTAAAAGGATAAAATATAAGGCTCTGTTTACAATATCAATATATTTTATATTTAATTAAAGAAAGTTTCTCAAATTTCCTAGGTGGTAGTAGAAATTATTAATAATTATAATTAAAAGATCATAAAGATAAAAGTTATTTTTTCGAAGAAAATTTGCAACAAATGATTAAAAAAAATCAGAAAATCAAAAATCTCATGAGTATTTTGAATAATGCTGTTGGAAGAAGTAATCAAATCAAATTGAAAATTTCAGAGATTATCGAAATTATCACCATCAAAAACATATCAAAAAAAAGAAAAATCACAAAACTCTGATATACTACTCCGTCGTCGATGTCTGAGTAGCTCACATACTTATTCTTCAAGTCTGTTCGAAAGCTAAATACGGATGAAATACCATAAGAATATCATGCAATCAAAGACAACTTGAAGATTATACTTTATTGGTACAATGACGCGTTCTGTTTGAACTAGAAATTTCGATTCAGATATAGAATGTTAATTTTGTATACTTTTGATTTGTATTACAAAATACAAATGAACAAGACTATTCGATAACTAAATAAAAACACATTTTCAAACTACTTTTTCTTTTTAATCAATTAAAACATCATTCTTTTAAAATAAAATCTTCATATGATAATATATAGATGATAATGAATATGAACTAAATTAATGAATATTTTCTGTATTATTTAAAATTATCCTCATTTGCAAAAATATTCTATTGACATGTATAAGTTACTTATAATTCACTACTAAATATTCTTAGAATGCTATCAAAAAGGAAAAAGGTTGTATCTTCATAATATTTGTTATGTAAATAGCATCATTTTGAAGTTACATAAAAAGATGCATAATTAATATCAAAATGAAAATGATTTTCAAGGTTCATGCTAAACATCTCTTTATCATTCAATATTATTCTTTTTTTTTCTTATTTGCATTAACCTATATTCCAAGTTTTTATTATCTTTATACATCGATATATAAAATAAAAAATTTCAAATACATATTATATTTATTTTATTCATATATATATATAATATAAATTTAACATTAACTTGAATTCAGCTGAATTTATTTTATTTAAAAAAAAAAAGAAGAATGTACAACTCGAGCCTGGATATTAGTTCTTTTTTTTTTTTGCTACTGTTCCACTCAACAATAATACATCGACATTTATATATATTTATAAGATACAGTTGTTATTAACTCGACAAAAAGAAAGAAAAAAAAACGATCAATCACAATATGAGCATGCGAAATAAAATGTAAAAAAATAAGGACGGTCGCTAAAGACAAATAGATTTTTAACTCGAATGATGATGTGGATGCTGATATATAGGAAAATTATCTCCAGTAATATTTGTCGATGGATAATACCATTGTTCATTTGTTGTTGTTGTTGTTGTTGTTGGTAATGAATACTGTTGCTGTGCAAATGCATTACAATCATAATGACGATATGGATGATAATGTTGTTGATGATGAGAAGGATGATGCATGCTTTTAGTCATAATAACTGATGGTCAACTTGTAGGTAATGGTGAATGTGGAGATGATGGACTTGGACTTGGTGTTGATGTTGATGGTAAATGACGATGATGTGGGGAAGATGAAGTGAATGATGAAGGTGGTGGTGGTGATGGATAGAAACATGTTTGTTGTTGTTGTTGTTGTTGTTGTTGTTGTTGTTGTTGTTCACTGGGATAAGGAGATTGTTGTCGTTGTTGTTGTTGTTTAATAGAAACTCGAGATGGACCTGTAGGTGGTGAAGATTCAATGACATCAACAACAACAACAACAACAACAACAACAAACATGTTTCTATCCATCACCACCACCACCTTCATCATTCACTTCATCTTCCCCACATCATCGTCATTTACCATCAACATCAACACCAAGTCCAAGTCCATCATCTCCACATTCACCATTACCTACAAGTTGACCATCAGTTATTATGACTAAAAGCATGCATCATCCTTCTCATCATCAACAACATTATCATCCATATCGTCATTATGATTGTAATGCATTTGCACAGCAACAGTATTCATTACCAACAACAACAACAACAACAACAAATGAACAATGGTATTATCCATCGACAAATATTACTGGAGATAATTTTCCTATATATCAGCATCCACATCATCATTCGAGTTAAAAATCTATTTGTCTTTAGCGACCGTCCTTATTTTTTTACATTTTATTTCGCATGCTCATATTGTGATTGATCGTTTTTTTTTCTTTCTTTTTGTCGAGTTAATAACAACTGTATCTTATAAATATATATAAATGTCGATGTATTATTGTTGAGTGGAACAGTAGCAAAAAAAAAAAAGAACTAATATCCAGGCTCGAGTTGTACATTCTTCTTTTTTTTTTTAAATAAAATAAATTCAGCTGAATTCAAGTTAATGTTAAATTTATATTATATATATATATGAATAAAATAAATATAATATGTATTTGAAATTTTTTATTTTATATATCGATGTATAAAGATAATAAAAACTTGGAATATAGGTTAATGCAAATAAGAAAAAAAAAGAATAATATTGAATGATAAAGAGATGTTTAGCATGAACCTTGAAAATCATTTTCATTTTGATATTAATTATGCATCTTTTTATGTAACTTCAAAATGATGCTATTTACATAACAAATATTATGAAGATACAACCTTTTTCCTTTTTGATAGCATTCTAAGAATATTTAGTAGTGAATTATAAGTAACTTATACATGTCAATAGAATATTTTTGCAAATGAGGATAATTTTAAATAATACAGAAAATATTCATTAATTTAGTTCATATTCATTATCATCTATATATTATCATATGAAGATTTTATTTTAAAAGAATGATGTTTTAATTGATTAAAAAGAAAAAGTAGTTTGAAAATGTGTTTTTATTTAGTTATCGAATAGTCTTGTTCATTTGTATTTTGTAATACAAATCAAAAGTATACAAAATTAACATTCTATATCTGAATCGAAATTTCTAGTTCAAACAGAACGCGTCATTGTACCAATAAAGTATAATCTTCAAGTTGTCTTTGATTGCATGATATTCTTATGGTATTTCATCCGTATTTAGCTTTCGAACAGACTTGAAGAATAAGTATGTGAGCTACTCAGACATCGACGACGGAGTAGTATATCAGAGTTTTGTGATTTTTCTTTTTTTTGATATGTTTTTGATGGTGATAATTTCGATAATCTCTGAAATTTTCAATTTGATTTGATTACTTCTTCCAACAGCATTATTCAAAATACTCATGAGATTTTTGATTTTCTGATTTTTTTTAATCATTTGTTGCAAATTTTCTTCGAAAAAATAACTTTTATCTTTATGATCTTTTAATTATAATTATTAATAATTTCTACTACCACCTAGGAAATTTGAGAAACTTTCTTTAATTAAATATAAAATATATTGATATTGTAAACAGAGCCTTATATTTTATCCTTTTAGACAATTTATTAGCAAAATGCTAATTGAGCGTGTTTTATGTAGCAACGATAAAATCCTTGATATTTCCATTAGTGATAGAGCTTGAAAAGTTCTATCATCTGTTGTATTTAGCAATTTTGTACCATGAGAAAAATCAATTGTCTTTTTCCTATTATTTATAAGATATATTTGAAGCTTCCAACCTATTTTCCATAGGTTATACTTTCTTAACTGCTTTAAGTTTTCTTGTATGGTTATCTTTTTGTTATGGATAATATGAGAGTATGCAATTACTAACCCAGACCTTGAATATTTTTAGTGTTAACAAAAAAGATAATACGTCAAGAGAGAGGGGCAACTTTCATAGAAAATAGCATTAAAAAAAAGGCAAGTATTTTCAGATTTTGATTGTGAAAAGCAGAAATAAATCTTATATTTGCAATAAGCATACAAAACTATACTAGAAAGCATATCTTTCACCGAAAAATATTTCCCATCGAAATTTCACCTGTAAGAGAGTACAGGATAAATTTTTTTAGGTGAATGATTGAGTAGAAGTATAGTAAAAGTTTTCATAAGAAATATTTCAAGATAAAAAGTATGTTTTTTTGATGTAGTGTTGCATGTTGATTGTGTATATAAGGTTTATTTCTGATACAAGTCAACTTTTCGCAACTAAAATCTGGAAATACTCTCCTTTTTATGCTAATTAATGGGCTAAAGATTTTGAGAGAAAATGTTTGTTTATTTTTGATCTCCTGGAAAGCGTTTCCAATGAGTTAAAAGTGATAGATTAGCATCAAAATTTTGTTCACTTTTCGGATGTGTACTTAGAAATTTTGTCTCAATTGTGTTTGAGTATAGTACGGAAATATTTGAAAGGTTCTAAAAGTCAAATTGACGAGTAAACCAATCAACTTTTGCTAATTCCTCTAAATTTCTTTTCGAAATGCTAAAAATTATCTGAGTCGATCTTTTTTTGTCGAGAGGATACTTCGTTACATAATTTTACATTGAAATAAGTGGTAACCTTTATTCAAGTGAAATTATACAAACTTTGTCGACAGCTCCTTTCTATGCCGAACGATTTGTGATCGAAAAGTCCATTTTTCAAATATGAGTGTTTAACAAAAATGAAAATTGAAATATCCTGTCGAAAGGGATTGGTGAAAGTTGAGCACGAGGAAAGATAAGCACGGAAATGGAAATTAATTTCGACATGGCATTAATAAGCAGACGAATGCTGAGTGTAGATGTAGGTGGGGAAAGGAGTGTAGAGAGGGTAGGTAAAAGTGAGTGCAGGTGAGGATGTGCAAGTGGGTGCCGATGGAATGGACAGTTGAGTAGAGGTAGATATGTGAGGGTCGGTGAGGTAGCCGAGTGGTTATGAATGTGCGTCGATGGACGGG